GATGGCCAGGGAGTGAAGAAAAGCGTAAAGAGTAGCACTGGCTGCTCGGTCAATGAATGCCGAATGTTTCATTATAAAGAAACGGCTAATATTACCATTAGAGATGAGGAGAACAGATACTACACTTTGAACCCAGCCCGATGGCCAGGGAGTGAAGAAAAGCATAAAGTGTAGCACTGGCTGCTCGGTCAATGGATGCCGAATGTTTCATTATAAGGAAACGGCTAATATTACCATTAGAGATGAGGAGAACAGATACTACACTTTGAACCCATCCCGATGGCCAGGGAGTGAAGAAAAGCATAAAGTGTAGCACTGGCTGCTCGGTCAATGGATGCCGAATGTTTCATTATAAGGATAAGGCTAATATTACCATTAGAGATGAGGAGAACAGACACTACACTTTGAACCCAGCCCGATGGCCAGGGAGTGAAGAAAAGCATAAAGTGTAGCAATGGCTGCTCAGTCAATGAATGCCGAATGCTTCATTATAAAGAAACGGCTAATATTACCATTAGAGATGAGGAGAACAGATACTAAACTTTGATCCTAAGCCGATGGCCAGGGAGTGAAGAAAAGCATAAAGAGTAGCACTGGCTGCTCGGTCAATGAATGCCGAATGTTTCATTATAAGGATAAGGCTAATATTACCATTAGAGGTGAGGAGAACAGATACTTTGTTCCCAGTCCAATGGCGAGGGAGTGAAGAAAAGCGTAATGAGTAGCAATGGCTGCTCGGTCAATGGATGCCGAATGTTTCATTATAAGGAAACGGCTAATATTACCATTAGAGATGAGGAGAACAGATACTACACTTTGATCCTAACCTGATGGCCAGGGAGTGAAGAAAAGCATAAAGAGTAGCACTGGCTGCTCGGTCAATGGATGCCAAATGTTTCATTATAAGGAAACAGCTAATATTACCATTAGCATTAGAGATGAGGAGAACAGATACTACACTTTGAACCCAGCCCGATGGCCAGGGAGTGAACAAAAGCATAAAGAGTAGCACTGGCTGCTCGGTCAATGGATGCCGAATGTTTCATTATAAGGAAACGGCTAATATTACCATTAGAGATGAGGAGAACAGATACTACACTTTGAACCCAGCCCGATCGCCAGGGAGTGAAGAAAAGCATAAAAGTGTAGCACTGGCTGCTCGGTCAATGGATGCCGAATGTTTCATTATAAGGAAACAGCTAATATTACCATTAACATTAGAGATGAGGAGAACAGATACTACATTTCGGTTACCATCATCCTAGAGCAGCAAGACTAGAATGATTCAATAGATAAGAAGATGAGGTGATATTCTGATTTGTCTGGCTAATATTACAGTTTGTGGTTGATATGTCAAGGTTCATTTACCATTAATGATATGTGAGAATCATTTGCCTGGATTTACCGCAGAGTGTGGCTATTTTTTTAGTGGAGCTTAGTTTGACACAAGGTCATAGTATGGATCATTCAATGGCAATCAAACTCACTTATGATGATACATGAGATTTGCTTGTTAACCATCATGACATTACATACAAAGTGCCTTGTGCCCCAGTGAAAATACATTTTCTCACATACTGGAAAACCAAAATCAGTCTTGTTCATAATAAAAACAATAGAAATTTTGATACTTACAACTCAATGATTTTATAAATGCAAAATTCTTTATTTCTTAAGTAGAAAATTGATATTTGAAAATAGTATTTGTGGATTTTAATATGCCAAAAAGAATTGACTTTAATTTTCTATTTTCTAAAACATTTTGATAATTTTTAATTAATTTTATTATTTGCTGCATTTTTTTTTTAGAAATGGCTAATTATTTTATGGTTTAAGACGTACAGTCTTCTTAAACCATATACCTAATTTCAAATGGAGACTTTTTTCTCCTTCGACATTTAAATTCATTTAAGGTTCAGTTGAGTTCTGGATTTTTTTTTTCGATATCAAAAGTTCAAACAAAACTGGTTCGTAGTGTGAGTATCCACTTTTTTTTTTTTTTTGACAATATTCCTCTTAGTCTTCTTAATGAATCTCAAAACTTTAAAATTGAAAATAAAAGTAAAAATTTTAATCATAAGTTAAAATCAAAATATTATGACATAAAAACAAATTCGAAATTCGAAATAAGGGACATTCAGAATACGAAGCCTGGTAAAAAAAAAAAGTAAAAATAAAAAAGTCCCCAATGAAAATTAAACTAAAACTTTTTGTAGTTATTTTTTCATTATAATCACTTTTAGTTTATTTCAGTAAAACCAAGAAAAAGCATGTGACAGTAGTAAACAAACATTCTTTTTTTTTTGTGGATTATTTGCCCTCAATAAATAAGTAAGGTCTTAGAGTAGAGAGAGAGAGAAAAGAAGAAACATTTTTTTCTCACGAACCTCGGGTTAACATAGCCAAGCAGGCGCGATAATTGATTTGATGAGGCTCATTTCAACAATTCACATTTGTTGTTGTTCCTCCCTCATTCACTCACATAAAATGAGAGAAAAAAGATGAGATTTTTCTTCCTCCAGAAAGACGAAAATGAAGTGGATTTGTTACCTAAACATTATATTTTGCATCTCTTTCATGTTGAGCGAACAACTTTTAAAAAGAAACCAAATTGGAGTTCGAGCTGATTGACAAGAAAGAAGTTTACAAACTTTACGCAACCAACAAGTACTTTTTTTTAACTGATGTCTTGCGGTCTGGATTTTCTGTGTACAGAAAGACATTATCTCCGTACGGATTTTGTATCAAAGAAAGGTACTATGAACAGAAACTACAAAGTAAAGTCTACTGTCTACAGTGCACCTTACAAAAGATCCAGTTTGTAAGAAAAAATCCACTGCAACTACAAAGTTCAATGCAATTTTTAAGTTTTCCTTTTCCTGATGAAAGTAGTAACCTGACGTTTGTACACACAAATTGATTTTAAAACGTGATTTTAAAAAAATGCTTGTATTATTATTTTTTTTTATTTAAAAAAAAAAAAGATTTTTCACCAGCAATCAGGGTTTTAAAGACTGTTTTAGTGTTTTATAAAGTTTTAATTCCTGAAAAGACTTTTTTCCCTTAAATATTACGCAGGAAAACAAAACACACACAAAAAAAGAGTCGATAAACTTTCGGGTAAAGTAAAAAAAAAAAGTTTATATCGAAACATTAATTTGACAAGAGATTTAAAAAGATTTTATTATTACAGGGTCTATTAACAAAACGAGTTTAATGAAGAATGAACTATTTAAAGAAAAAAAAAACGAAAGTAATTACTTTTTTTTTTCTTTCATTTTCTTTATTTTGAAGGAAATTATTTCTTTAAAATATTTTCTTGTCTTCCTTCTCAACGTGAAAGGGTTGATGTCCCTAACCTATGAAAATAAGGACTGTTGCACACACACAAAAAAATAAAAAAAATAGAAGCAAAACATTCATAAGTTAACTGCTTGCTTTCAAGGGGGACAAACTTTCTCACGTTTTGTGTATGAGACAAATCCAGGGCAAGGGTGAATCCAGTCACTTGTCAGATAAGCAAAACCCCGACCGACTGAACAATACTTCTCTTACTGCAATGGTAATCTCCGCACCTACCTACGCCCATTAGAGAGAAAGATCTTTCTTCTTAAGAGATTTTTCTTTAAATATATAGATGAATTAAATAAATCAAAATCTAGTGTTTTCAGCGAACAAGTTTTAGTCGGGACTAAAAAGAGACTTGAGAAATCACCAGTCAAAAAGAAAAGTAAAAATTTCGTCATCACCCAGACACGTTTCTTAATTGAAGCACAGGTTTTCCTTTTAATCTTTAGGACAGACATCATCGAATGTTTTCTTGCTGGTTTTAACAACGAAATCTCATTTGAACTCACACCTGTTAATTGTAAAGTAAAGTGGAAAGAAGTTAAATGCATAAAAATCTTATGATAAAATTAAAAACAAGAAGCTATCAAATCAGTTTTTAATTTTATTCACTTGAAATACACAACTATTTTTTCTTTTTATTTTTATTGCATCATTCAGTACGTACGTGTGATTGTCAAACTTTTAGTCTTATTCCAAAAAAAAAATAATCAAAATTTCAGTCTTTTTTGTTAAAATATTTTCTTTTAATAGTTACAAGATTTAAATCTTGTCACTAGCAAATAGAAAAAAATATGAAATTATAGCAAAACAAAAGCGACTTTTTTTTTTCATTAACGGTTTTTTTTTGGTCATTTTAAGAAGATCGAACTTAAACTAGAAATCGAAAAGTTACTGTCTTAATTTAATCATAAATTTAAAATATAATTTTAAAATTAAACACGGAGTATAAAATTTGAACAAGTTTAAAAAAAAAAGTGGGTAATAACATCTATTTCAAAATACCCATAGAAAAATAAAATTTAAAAATACTAATACATATCGCAATATCAAAAAAAATAATGAACTAAAAGTTTAAAAAAATTATAAATTTAAGAATTTAAATCAAAAACAAAATTACAAGAGCTTTTTTTTATTTAAGGTAGTCGTTGAGTTCAATCAATGATTATTTCAAATAGTTCGTTGGTCGTTTCTACCTGTTGATTAATGATAACAGGTGTATCCATTCACGACTTGAACAACTCATTCCTAATTCATCGCTAACCGACACCTTATTTATTTTATGCTTTTTGCTTGATTATATCCCCCTCTTTTCTTGATTAGCAAAAATTAAGATAAGAACTTTGGCTTTCTCATGCAGCTATGAAATAAAATAAAAACAAAGCAAACTATAAAGTGGAATTTAGTCATCTTACCTAAAAAAAAAAAAAATTAAAGGAAGTAAAAAAAAAGTTTTAAATTGAAACAAACTTATTTTTAAGCTGAAATAATAATAAAAAAAAGAAAAACAATGTTGGTTAACAAAAAATCTAAAATGAAACACTATTCAAGTCAAATGTATGAGAAGTGGCTGAACTAAAATAAGTGTTGTAAAACAAAAGTCGACTCCAAAGTTTTATTGGGGGGAGGGGGCAAAACAAACACTGGTAAGAATGCCGTCAAGGAGAGAAAGCCAGGGAGAGGTTGGCGTCATCGGGGCAAACCTCGTGGGCCAAGGAACGGGCCGTCTCCCCCCTCAAACACGTGATCAAAATTTCGACAACAGGGAAAGAAACAACTCGACTACCCCAATCGTGTATTTTCCTTCTCGCAAACGTTCCTCCTCTTCATCGTTAGCCATCCCAACGGCTGGATCATCGTCTTCTCTCGGCTACCGTCCCGTGCCCTCCCGGGCGCACCGAACCATCCAACACTCCAACAGTACGGGCACCCTCACTTCGATAGAGTCGGGAGCCCACACCATGACGAGTTTAGAATGGGTCCGTTGTGGCTCTGGGGGCAAAATTTGTATATTTCTCGTACTTGGAATTATTTTACTGATGTTGGGCATTTTCATCGGAGCCTTTTATTTGAACATCCAACAGCTGACTAGTTCTTCTACCCTCACTGAAGTCCTGCCAAATTATGTCATCGCATTGTCGGTGAGTTTGCCTTTGCTTACATTCACAAAAACAAAAAAGAAAACCGAGATTTACCGAAGATTGCCGAACGGCCTTCGTTAAGTTCCTTTCTTTTATTTCTCTTTTCCTAACAAAAACATTCCAAAACACATGCGTGTAACTGATTTTTTCTTTCTTTCCTTATTTATATTTTTCTATATGGCATTTAAAACTATTTTAATCGTGAGAGCATAACAGATTTATATTGGTGTGAGAGAGATTCTTTTGAATTTAAAACTAAAAACATCTGATATTGTTTTATAAGTTTTTTTTTTATTTAAACAAAACTTCAACGTATATTTGTTGAACAAAAAAAAATCATGTATTTTTATTTTTCACCCTAGCTTTTCTGTTTTTATTTACTGTTAGCTTGGAAATTACTAATTATTTTTTAAAAATTGATGACTTCTTTTAGTAATTCTTTATATTTTTATTCAAATTCTTGTTAAACAATGAATGAAAACAAAGTTTGATCTCATTTTTGTAACTTAGATTTTTCAGTTTTATAAAGAAAACTACCAATTGATGCCGTTTTTAACAACTTGAAATATTTTACTAGCTTAATTAAAATCCAAACCTAATCATTCATATTTAATTTTTTATGTTTCAATAATGACAATAAAACGAATTTTTATTGAATACATAAAAAATCATAAAAGGAAAACCAATGCAGACGGTACATTGAATTTTTAAAATGTTTTAAAATTATCGGTTGAATTTAAATAGAAAGTGTCAAATTCTTCGATTAAGGATTTCTGTTGCCAAATTCCAGATAAACAGACAGTTAAAAATAATAGTACTTTTATTTTAAACTGAAAATTATCACTGACGAAACTATACCTTTTTTTTCTTTCTAAGGTTAAAAAAATTAAAAAAAAAAAGCAACTGAAAACGAAATCAATTTTTGGTGAGAACAGATCGATTTTAATATGATCATTGAACACTAGTCAAGTGTAAGAACTTTTTAAAGAAAACCAAACCCTTTTTTGTAAGTTGGATGAACATTTGATTTTTACTATTTGATAAATTAAAAATTCATACCTGACAAAGATAAACTGTCATTTATTTAAATTTTTAATTTTTTAACAATTGATTTTTTTAACACTAGCGAATTTGTATTCTAAGAAAAAAAACTGATTGACTTTCTTTTTAAATGATTACTAGCTGCTCTGAAATTCACCTTTTCCAATTAATAAATTAAATAAATAAAATAAGCCTTAGTATTTAAAAAAAGGGTTATTTGAAAATTCATAACGACAAAAAATACAAAACTTAGTTAAATTATTCATTTGAAAACTAAGATTAATTAATTACTATCTTAGTTTTCAATTTTCAAGAAATTTTATCAAATACTTTTGTTTAAAATAATTACAATCTTAATTGAATTGCTGTTTCTTTTTGTTTTCGCTTAAAATGTCAATATTTTTTTTAAAGTTTTTTTTTTTTTTTAAATCTGACTTTATTGCTGGCTGGATATGAGCCAATCTGGCAGTAATGAACACAAAAAAAAAACAGGGACACAGAAAATAGAAAGTTTTTTAAGCGCCACTGAAATTTATGATTTTTATTTTTTATTGTTTGAAACACGTGATTTTCTTTAATTTTGGGGTGGGTTTTGAGGTGAAGAGGGGAATAACGGCTTTTGGTCTTATTTTCTTCGTTCAATTCAATTTTCATGGTCATCAGCGCTCATTGAAATCTTGACGCCTGGTCAGCAATTAATAATGTCCCAACAATTGCAATCTGTTCAATTTCCCACACGCCAAATGTTTTGCGATTCCTTTTAAATTCTTTGATTTTGACATAATCAAAAAAAAAAAAAAAAAAAAGGTTTTGATCGTTTCAGACTTAAAATGCCCACTTGTAAATGTTTTTCCTTACCTTTCATTTTTCATTGAAGCGTTAACTTTCGTTTTGTTACTTAAAGAAAATTAAAAGGTGGGATTTTTATTAGCTGTCTGAATAAATTGATTTTGCCTCCCTTAAATTTAATATTTTTAATAGGTTAATTTTATGAATTCCTACAATTTGGAACGGAGAAAACACAAACAATTAGACTAGAGAGAGTTCTTACTTCTTGGAGATGGCTTGAAGGATTAAGCTTAAAAAAAGTCCTTTTTTGTTTGGGTTTTAAGAATCTTGTTCTTTAAGTTTTTAAATTAAGTAATTCATTTTTAAAATCTGTATTAATTTTTTAATTAATAAATTGAAACAAATTTTTAGTGATAACAATAGTTTATAACTTATGAGCAAATTTTGTGACTTTTTTTGTTAATATATTATTACAAAGTCTCTATTAATTTCCTACAACCACCTTCAGTAGTTCACAGCTACGATAAAAGGTTAATTTATTTCTCTTTGGAAAATTTACCTGTATATTTGCATCCATTGGTTGTTAAGTGTGAAACTTGTTTTTGCATCAACTATTTTATTTGTCAAGTTTTTGTTTTCTTTCGAAAACTTATTTTTAAAAACTGGAACTAAAAAAATCAAACTTTAAAGCCAAGTCTAAATTTGGACTCGATGCCATGTTTTTAAAGTTCATACACTGCTGATGAGAAACAGAAATTTGCTTTGTTGTCATTTTTCTCTTGATCAAATTTTGGAGTTGCAATTTAAGAATCTCTTTATCTAGTCTTAAAATTTAAACATTCATCATTCAACAACGTTTTAAAGATTACTCCGCCTTCCATTACTTAAAAAAGAGGACATGGTAGGGAATATAAAGGTTTGAAAAGACTTTCTTTGCCAACCCTCATTTTTCAAGACTTGCTTGTTTTGAAAAACCAACTTTGTCTTTGTCCTGTTTTATTTTTTTTAGATTCAAACATCAACCACGGTTTTCAATAGGGAATATTTTGCGTTTGCCTATGTCATCTGTTCTGTCAATCTTTGGATTTCGTCCATTGTTTCAAAGAACTCTGAACAATTTCTTTCTGATGGTCTTATTTTGGAATCTCTTCAATCAAATTTAGTTTCTATCTTTAATTTTGTAACAGAGAAATTAAATTATTAAACTAGAATCTATTTTCTAAGGTTAAGATAATTGAAAGGTTTTCGTCAGAACAATGTAGGCTCTGGTTAGTGGTTTCTTAAAGAACTTCAATGTCATCAATTTTTTTTTAAGTGATTTGTAACCAGATGGCTGGCTCATCCTTTCTTTCTCTTTCCCTCTTTATTCGTTATTGTATCACAAATAAAATGGGAGACATTGTGAAACATTGAAGTTTAAAACAATACATTGAAAAGTCATGTTGTGAATTTTTTATGAAAGCAATAATACGGCTCATGATTTTAAATAATGCCTTATTTAAAATAATATGGTGTAGTTTTGACAAATTATTAAAATAAATGCCTATTTTAATAAATCTCAATAGTCCCAGGTTAGCAAAAGAACTTGTTTAGTGATTCGTAACAAAAGCCATTACCAACCCACATTATTAATTTACAATTCGTAACTATAAAAGAATAGAAAGTACTGAATTTTAGAATAAAAAAGTGCTGAGTTTGTACTTTGCACTTAGAATCCTTTTTTTTTTTTTTAGTTTCTCCATGATTTCTAAAAGACTTGTGCCATTTTAAACAAGAATTCGCGATATGAGATAAGGTTAAAAATGTTACATGAGTTTTCTTTCTTGTGTTTTCTTTTTTTTTTTTATTAGTCATTCCAGCCTCAGAATTTGTACCAGAAAAGATTTTCCTTTCTACGTGTTTCTACCCTCACTTTGTCACACCCAGTTTTTAGGCACAGTGAGTAGTAACTCAACACCATAAAAATTCCTCCTTCCCAAGAAATGATTGCTTTCTACAGACTGGAAGTTTCTATGTCTACTTATTATTCCAAGACTTGGGTTTTTCACTCGTTCTTTTTTTCTTTTTGTTTTTCCTGTCTTTTGGAAATTTCTTTAAAACGATTCACTTGGTGAGGCCTAAATTAACCATTTCTAGTTAAAATTAAAATTAATAAAATTATTTGAATTTTAATATTTCTGCTTGATAAATATCTGTTTGCAAAGAACTGAAAACCGTGTATGTATGCAAAAAATCCCCCCAAAAAACAAACTTTTGTGCTCTCTGGAAAAGTGATATTTTTTATCATTTTGAAATGAGTTGAATTGAATTTTTAAAAACTAACACAAACATTTTAATTTTATCTACCCCCTTTCTTATTAAAACAATAACATTTGTCAAAATTGTGAGGCTTTTACTATTTATTATTAATTTTATTTTATTAGTCTTTTATTGCCCAATCTCAGATTCATTCATTGTATAACCCAATGTGAAATTGTACTCAATCAAGTCTTTTTTAACATTTGAACAATTTCTCATAAAAATGGCTTTTAGAATGCAGGATATGACATTAAGTTAGTGGAACAAATCTAGTAGTCTCTATTATTACAAATTTCAATAAATTATCAAAAAATGATTTCCGTTTTCATAGTCAAATGCTGTCAATTAGAGATCCTCTCCCCCCCCCCTTTTTTTTACTACACATGCACACGATTTATAACAGTCACATTCTGTTACAATGAACGGAATGTGACTATAACTGAGATATTTTTTATATTTTTGATTTATTTGGAACTTTTGTAAAGTAATCTAACTACTTTGCATTTGTAATGGAATGCGAAACCTTTTAGTTAACTGCCCTCTGCTCTGAGCATTGAGCTCAATCAAACATTTTTAAGGGCCTCATCCTACTTAGCCGTTAAATGATTAAATATCCGGACAAGCAGTTTGAGTTGAGGATTTCATTGTCCTTTATCGCGATTCAGAGAAAAAAAGTGTTTATATTTTAAATGTATTTGTTGTTTTTAGGAAAAAAAAATCAACTATTTTTTTAAAATTTTTATTTTATTTTTAACTAAATTTTAGTTTTACTATTTATTTGTGAATTTGAATTTGTTTTTAGAAAAAATCTCTCAAGTTGATTGTTACAAAAATATCATTGAAAACTAAAACTTTCTGCTTATTTCAAATTG